AAAAAAAAAAAAAAAAAGAGACACAGACACACACACACACTCACACACATGATGGGCAATGTCTATTGGGCAATTAGTCACTTTAAGGTTTAGTTGCACCAAAATGAATGGGAAAACTACATCTCCCAGAGGGCAAAGGGGCCAAGAGGTTGGGGTGGAATGGGGGAAGTTTGCTGTTTTATTGTTAGGGTGTTTTTTTTTTTTTAATTTTTCGCCCCCCTTCCCCAATCTGCAGGGACCGTGCTCTGTTTTGGCCTATGACACAGGAAATACTGCAATGAGACGTTGATCTCTGAGAAAGGAGGCGGGAGGGATGGAGAAAGAAGGGAACAGAGGCCTGGGAAAACAGGCAAGCAAGCGCCTATTTGTAACGCGCGCAGTCGCTGGCCCGTCCCGCGGAGCCCGGCGCCATCGTGGACCAATCAGGCTCTCGGGGGCGTGGTCTGTCCGGGAAGTAGGCGTGGCCTGGGAGGGAACTCACCAGAAACTGGCCCGGAGATCCTTGCCCGGGAAAACGCCCACTGCGGTGCTGGGGGGAAAGGTGAGGGGCTCAGGGTCCCAGGCTTGGGGTGCTTGGTGTGTGTGGGTGGAGGGGAGGGGGTTGTATGGAGAGCTGAGAAGTGGGGGTACACTCTTAGGGAGGGGGCGGTCAGGACTTTGTGGGCCTGGGGAAAGAGGAGGTTGGGGGCCTGGATTGTTGGGTCCGGGCCAGGAGCTGGGGGGGGGTCCCCGTTCTGGAGCCTCAGCAGAGACCGGAGATGGCTGGCCAGGAAGAAGCCATGACGTGAATCCGGGGGCCGGGGTACCTGTCAGGGCAAGGGAAGGCTAAAAAGGCCTGCAATTCTGGGTCCCAGGTAACGAAATGCCTTGGGGTTTTAGCTCTGATCAGTGGGGATGGCCCTGGGAACCCCAGATTTGTAGCTTCCAGGGGGACAGAGACTTGGCACCAACAACCATCATCCACCTCCCTGCCTCCCTAGGCCACGCCGCCATGCCTGGCTCTGGGCCCCACCGAGCCCTCTTCCTGTTGCTACTGCTGCCGGCTGCACTGGCTGTTCCCCTGGAGCGTGGGGCGCCCAGGAAGGAGGAGAACCCCGCCACCGAGAGCCCGGTGAGTAGCCCTGGGCAGGTGTTCGCATGGTGTCTCCTGGGTAGGCCCCTCCATGGACTCCCTTGCCTGGCGATCGTGACTTGACCTTTACCTGACACTCTTTGGCAGTACCAGGGAATGGGACTTGGTATCAAACGGTGGTGGCGGAGAGGATGTCTCTGCTTCTAAGATATGGAAAATCGAGTCAGATTTTAAGTGGGAAGGTTTGCATTACTCTCCCAGGAAAACTTCTCTGTTCTTTTCACATTGCTCTTGATCCTGTGTTGGTGATACATGCCTGTTAATCCTAGTTATTTGGTAGGTGGGAAATCTAGAGGATCTGAGTTCAAGACCAGCCTGAGTAAAAAATGATTGAGCCAGGTGCAGGTAGCTCACACTAGCAAGGAAGCATAGCTAGAAGGATTTCTGTCAAAGGCCAGCCCAGGGCCCCCCCAAAAAAAGATCTACCCTGAAAAATAAAGCAAACTGAGCATAACTCAAGTGGTAGAATACCTAGCAAGCATAAGACCTTGAGTTCAATCCCCAACACATAAACATAAAAAGGTGAGGTAGCTCAGGCTGGTAATCCTAGCTACTCGGAAGGCTGAGATCTGAGGATCATGGTTCAAAGCTAGAAAGCTAGACTGGCCAGGAAAGTCCGTGAGACTTTTTTTTTTTTTTTGGGGGTCGTGGGGCCTGAACTCTGGGCCTGGTGCTGTCTGTCACTCAGCTCTTCAGCTCAAGGCTAGCGCTCTACCACTGAGGCAAAGCGCCACTTCCGGCTTTTTCTGCTTATGTGGTGCTGAGGAATTGAACCCAGGGCCTCATACATGCAAGCAAGCACTTTAGCACTGAGCCACCTTCCCAGCCCAAGTATTTTCTTTCTTTCTTTCTTTTTTTGGGTCTGGTTGTGGGGCTTGAACTCTGGGCCTGAGCGCTGTCCCTCAGCTCTTCAGCTCAAGGCTAGCGCTCTACCACTTGAGCCACAGGGCCACTTCCGGCTTTTTTCTTTTTGCTTATGTGGTGCTGAGGAATCGAACCCAGAGCTTCATGCATGCAAGGCAAGCGCTCTACCACTGAGCCACCTTCCCAGCCCAGGAAGGATCTTTTAAGCCACAGTAGAAATTGTTCCTCCTTCTCTCTCTCTGTCTCAGCGCAGGGATGGAACTCAGAGCCTTACACTTGCGGGGATCATGCTCCAAGCCTGAAAATGTATTTTTTCATTACAAAGCTAATAAAATGAACAGAAACGTACCAACCTCAGTAATGTGGAGTAGAGCATAGCTCAGTGGTAGAACTTGTGTAGTATGCTAGGGGCCCTGGCTTCCATCCCCATCATCATCATCATCATCAGTAACAGCAATTACACATACAGGAGGATTTGCATGCGTTAAATGCCAACATGATGCTGCTTTCTACAGGAGACTTGAACACTGTGGTGTCTCTTGGGGAACTAGGACGAGTCCCTGTGCATGGCAAGTGACAGTGTATCTATTATCCATTTTACAGACAGGAAGACTGAGGTCCAGGGCTAAGACAGGAGGATCTTGGTGATATTGCTTGCTTGACCCTGTAGGGCTCTGTGGGTACTTGTTGGGAATTGAATGGGTGGACAGAAGATGATGTGTTTTACTGCTTCCCAATCAGCTGTGGGGTTGGGCCAGGTGCACATCCATATGATAGTTTTTTCTTGGTGGTACTAAAATTTGAACTCAGGACCTTGTGTTTGCTAGATAGGTGCTCTACTAATTGAATAAGGCCTGCTCAGGGGGAGGGAGTGCTCCCCTCCCCAGTCCTGATTTGTGTGTGTGTGTGTGTGTGTGTGTGTGTGTCTGTGGTGCTTTTGCCCTGGGAATCAAACTGTGTGTGTGTGTGTGTGTTGCTTTTGTGTGTGTGTGTGTGTTGCTTTTGTGTGTGTGTGTGTGTGTGTGTGTGTTGCTTTTGCCCTGGGAATCAAACCCAGGATCTTTGGATGGGAGGCTACAATACTCCCAAGCTCTGTCCCTAGTCCTTGGTGGCTGTTGTTATTATTATTGTTGTTTTTTGTTGTTGTTGTTGGTC